AATTAATTTTAAGGCTAATTCACAAACGGTGCATCCCATTAATGTGCCGTAAGTTCATACAACTTATATTGGTCCCTCCTAAGATGTTTCTATTGGTTCTTGTACAAATCTGTAGTTGCGTGATAATTTAGCATTTCGACAGCCTTTTTTCAAGCTTTAAGTATAGAGAAAAAAATATATTTTTTAGACTAATTCACAATTTATACATCATGTGCACCTGTACAAATTGGATGTCATATGCATGTTTCCATTGCTTCCTAATTCTTCAAACATGTATTCTTTTATAAAATTTGTTATATTAAAGTTAATATACTTTACCAAGAAGTATGTCCACTTGTGGATGAGTCCCCTCCACTTCCAAAGTGTCCAGTGAATCCTTTGGTCCTCAAAAAGTTGACAACATCAACCATTATCTCCCATTGCTTCTTCCTACTTATTTCAAGATCTTCTATTTTATTGTTCTACATTTGTATTTGTTCCTTCTGTCTCTATTTGCATCTCAAGGCGCTTCACATAATCATTTGTTTCAGCATATATGGTAGTGGTCCTCCTAATAGAGGATGAAGGTCTCATGCCAAGTCCCTTCACATAGTCAGACCTTGGCTTTAGGACTTTGATTGATAGCTCTTCTGCAGTCAAAGGGGTTGATCCTGGCTGTGAGAGGTGATCAGCCTGTGTCTGTATCATATTTTCCTATCAAATATAAAAAAAATTAAATAATTATTAGAAAATTAAATAAGATTATAACAAATAGTATTCTAAAATTTTGTTAATAAAAATTGCAATATATACTCACATAATTACACTGAGCTTGAGATGAGATCCACTCATGTGTTTTCTCATTATAGTGAGTTTCCTTGTACAACTCTGCTAGATCAGGTAGCATCTTCTTTTCTCGTGCCTAATTTGATAGACCAATATTCAATAAATAAAGCTAAGAATCTAATATAATTCTGAAAGTGTAAGGATACGTACCAGTTTTTCTACGCTAACAGGGATTGACCTAGAACCACACCTATGTTTTGTATACATCCTTTCTCTGCTCGCGATGTTGGCCTTTGATTGTTCCTATAAAGAAGAATGACCAATATAACAATGAAATGTATCATTAGTAAGACAAATATGTTGGCTTTTGATTGTTCCTGTAAGGAATAATGAACCAATATAACAATGAAATGTATCGCTAGTAAAACAAATTTAATGGTTGATAATAAAGAAATTGCATTGTTCCTCTCTATCATTTTTCTATATATCATTTCAACTTAAAAGATATTTCAATTATTCACTAGTTTCATTCAATTCTGTGAAAAATAGATTAGAGGACTTGTTGAGATTTCATCATAAGATGGTTTTTCTGGGTGAAAAAAGAAAAACGAGTAATTTACACCGTTCACAAATAGGGGGCATATAAGCATGGGCAAGATAGATTGTGAAAAAATCCATTTACATTTCACAAGATATGGAACAATTACTGATACCAAACTCATAACCCTTTCTTTCTTCCGCAACTCTATCAAATCTAAAGTTCTGTCTCAATACCCTATATTAGTTACTTAGCTAGTTGCTTACCATTATCATGAAACTTCAGACCAAACCCAAGAACAAACAGAAAATTAATACAATCATAGAAACTGAAATCTTAGTTCTTTAGTCTATGATGTGAAATTAATCTACTATTATGCGAGCCTTCCAATCCATGTTTAATAGTTTCTCTTTCTCATTTTTCCACTTATTTGATTTTTATTATGTTCCACTTAGATGCCTAGAAGATAAAGGGAAAAGAATACATATGGAATTTCACAGCAAATTGATTGTGTTCTTTCTAGTTGTTTTAGAATCTCTCCCTATTCTAATCAAATTCTTTCTTCGCTAATATAATAAAAAAGATGAAAATGTTACCAGAAATTCTTTAGTGTTCCACTTTTTATCAATAAGATCTATCCACTTGGTAGGATCGACATTCTTCGGTGGGTGGTTTCTTACATACTCCTCCCCTTTAGCCTCCTTCAGCTCCATGAATTGTTTGTGCAGTCTATAGATATGGTTACTCAATCTCCGACCAAATTTTGTGTTCATTGCCTTCTCTATATCGACAAGGTCTCCTTGTGAATCAAATTGATCCTGCAAAAAATAGATAAGTCATAGATAATTCTTATAAAAAATAAAATAATTACAATAAATAATTAAGATTTCTAACCTATTATAAAAATGAGTAAAATCTCCTATAAGTAGACAACGAATTTACATTCAAGCGTTGAAACATCACCTCCTTAACGGAGGCATCAACATACTTCCACCTACGAACACTTGGATCTGGTAAACGAGTTCGCACTTCTACACCAATCTTTGAGGCTAGTTTTGAGGCATAGTCCCCTCTCGGTGCACGAAATTTTGGAGGGATAGGCACGCTAAGCTTTCCATCTCTATCAACAAGGCCTTAAACCTCTTTGCCTCTAGTCGGGCCACGAGCACGCTTAGCAGCTGATATTGTGAAGCCATAATATTGAAATAGTATGTGAACAAATTTAATTAAGATCTCAAATCAATGTAAATAAAGAGTCTGTCTTACCAATAGTCACCTCAAGTTGAGGCTCCACATTGAGAGGTGGTGGCGGATTGCTAGTCACCTCAGGACGTGAAGAGGTATCCCCCTCTTCTAATGCGTGGGTCAATGCCTCATGATGAGATTGTGAACGGGCTCTCGATGGTATCTCTAACAGCTGAATAACATAATAAAATATAAATATATGTACAAAGATATTCATGTCTATGTGTGTATGAATTGAAAGTAACAAGAAAGAATATATTTCACAATGCATAAATGTATAGTACCTCATGCTCAAACGAATCATAGGTTTCAGTGTCACTGCCATCTTCAGCCTCTGACGATCGATAATCATCGTCATTTTCCTCAATTGGTATTTGTTTTTCCTTCCTCAATTTCTTATGTTGAACCGTAGCCTTCAAACAAGTTGTTATATTCTTCACTCCTAGAGCATTCATTCTCTCACGGTTTTTATTAATATTCTTCATTCTTTGTTTCTCATAGTTCGTTACCTTCTTAGTTGCGGTACTTGGTTTGGTCAATTGCTTTTTTGTAGCGTCCATTTTGCCCAACTATAAAGCATAATTGAACATTTTTTTGGTGGATACGCATAATTGAACATTAGATATAAAGAAAACATAATTATATATTTCTATACATAAAGCATAAAGCAACAACAATCTCAACAAGTGGATATGTCATATAAGCTCTAAATCATTGAAATATGGCTAGAGTGATATGGATGATTTTTGTTTTTACCATTTACTTATCATAGAACAAATTAATTACAAAGCCATCAGACACACAATATGACCAATCAATGATAAACCTACATAACAGTGGATGAACCCCACAACTGAAATTCAACTACATTAATTAAGAACAATGTTCATATAGAAAGTGCAAAATAACTACAAATCCTAGTCTACATCAAGATCCATATCGTAATCCACATCAGGTTCGTCACACTCTTCATTTTGTTTGTCAACTCTATTCTCCATTATTGTTTCATCAGATAACCTAACCCTTGTAACAACTTCTGCTTCAACACCATCTCTATAACATTGAACATTAGGGCCGATGTCAATTGGAACAACATCGGTAATATTTTCTTGTTGGAACACATCGTTTTCTTCTGGTTCATGTAATGATTCTCCATCGCCTACCTCTGGTACATCAGTGATTGTCATGCTAGAGGACTTAGAATTACTTCACCTCGTCCATGTAATCTACTAAAAAATTTGGTGAATCAAGTGAATAATGATCTGATTTGACCTAAGTCATTTGTTGGAGGAGTTCAAATTCAAATTCAAATATATTTTAAGTTTCATGATGATGCACATGCACCCGTCCTACATGACTAAAGCTTAGACTACGGGCTTTCACCTTTAGAATATATCCAAACAGACCATTCTCCTAGAGACTACCAGTTGTTTTTTTTCTTCAGAAAGGCGTTTATCCATCTGTTCAAATAGGGCACTCCATCTAGCTTGATGCACGTCAACATGCACACTCGCATTGTTAGAGCACATCCAGCAGCAGAATTTTTCATAACATATGGATCATTCTTTTGATTACATGAGAATTCCTGTGACATTAGCAAAGGCAATTCTGTATGAATCACAGATTAATCTCTCTTCTTACTGCGTCGAAATGCTGCAAGTACAGAAAGCAGTACATAACCATACATGTATAAAGGAGTTCTAATCAAAGATGAGTAAAATCTTCACTGATAAGCAGTACATTACCAGCAAGATGCCCTTTAGTGTCTTGATGAAGGAGTTCCAACCATTGAGAAGCTACACTAGCAGCTGACAATCAAAGAAACATTCATATCAGAAGGTGTGAAAGCTTAATTTTAATTAACGTTATTCATCTAACATCTTAATATTGCTCAACTTTTCACCATGCAAAAAAACATAGTTTCAAATTTCTTTGAATATGTCCTTTAAAGTTTCTATTCAATTTCTTACTATTTTCTAGAACTTCCTGCAGATTGCAAAGTGTGATAAATAAAAGCGAGAAAGCAGGAAGCACGGTTGTTCAGATTCCTGAAAACTGACCTTTAACAGATAGAGAAGAGACACTTGTCCTTGAGCACAAATCCTGGAAAAAGCTACCTAACTCAAATAGTGTTTTACTAATCTCTTTGTCTACGTAACCACGCATCCCAATTGGAAGAATCCGTTGTATGAGTACATGGCAGTCATGACTTTTCAAGCCTGTTAATTTACCATTTCTCGCATTCACTGATCTTGATATGTTTGCAGCATAGCCATCCGGATACTTCACTGATTTCAAGAATTCAAAGAAACCCTCCCTCTCTTCAGGGGTCAATGAAAAGATTGCCCTAGGTTTCACATAAGTTCCATCAGGACAACGTGTTAACCACAACTCTTTCCTTATACCCATATCTTCCAAGTCCATCCGTGCTTTGTCGGTGTCTTTGTTCTTTCCATCAACGCCTAACATAGTTCCAAAGGTATTTTCACTAAAATTCTTCTCGACGTGCATAACATCAATGTTGTGTCGAAGCTTCTGTTTCTTCCAGTATGGTAACTCATACAAGATGCTTACCTTTGTCCAATTTGGTGCCTGACGGAGTCTTTTCATATTTCTTGGATGTTTCCCATATGTGACGTTGTGTCGAAGCTTCCGTTTCTTCCAGTATGGTAACTCATACAAGATGCTTACCTTTGTCCAATTTGGTGCCTGACGGCGTCTTTTCTTATTTCTTGGATGCTTCCCATATGTGACACCTATCACTCTGTCCAATTGCTCTAATATCTTTTCCACTGGTAACTTTAAAGATCTCTTTTGCTTCTGCTTCTCATGCTTACCATTGTAAGCCTTACTCTTTCGCCTTTCGGGGTGATTTTGAGGCAAGTAGCATGGATGGTTAGTGTATGCAGTCTTACCTTTCAAGGATTGAAAATATGGTTCATCATTGCAAGTGTGGCAAGAATAATGACCCTTTGTTCTCCACCCAGATATGTCACCAAATACGGGCCAATCGTGTATAGTCCACATCAAAGCTGCACGCATCTGGAAAGACTCACCAGTTACGGCATCGTAAGATAATGCATCATTTTCCCACAACTCATTCAACTCATCCACCAGAGGTCTCATGTAGACATCAATATCAATCCCTAGTTGTGATTCTCCAGGAATAAGTAGTGACATCATAAGAAAGGGATCTTTCATAACTAACCAAGGTGGCAAGTTATAAGGAATGAGTACTACACGCCATAAACTATACGAGTTGTTCATGTTCCCGAAAGGATTGAACCCATCAACAGCCAACCCTAGCCTCACATTTCGAGGCTCTAGGGCAAACTGAGGATGTTGCACATCAAATTCCTTCAATTCATCACTATCGGCGGGATGTCTCAATACTCCGTCATCTATATGTTTCTCCTTGTGCCATCTCATGTCCTCAGCAATCTTTCTTGACGTGTACAATCTTTTCAACATTGGTGTTAATGGGACGTACCGCAACACCTTATGGGGAATCTTCTTACCCCTGCCACGATTGATCTTGTATCTGGATGCCTTACATTTTGGACATTTATCTAACCTTGCATTTTCCTTCCAAAAGAGTACACAATCATTTATACAAGCATCAATTAACTCATTTGACAAGCCCAAATCACGAAGTATTTT